GGAAATACAAAAAAAAAATAAATACAAAAAGAAAAAATACAGAAAAAAATATATGAATAGTAAAATACTATCACTAAAAATCATTAATCTTCGTTACGGTCTTTTTAATTATTATATTAAGTTATATTAATTTCACATTTAAAATTTCAATTATATTAATTTCACATAAAATAATCTATGTGGGAATAATTTATTCCGCATAATTAACATTTATATCATTTTATTGAACTGAATATAACATCGAAAAATTTTTCATTCCAGTTTATCATTCTTTAAACTTGCTTTTCATTTATAAAATTTTGACTTGCAGCATCACTAAAGAAATAATAATAATAATTGGATGAAATATAGGTAATCGAAGAACTGAAATATTATGGAAACTGGTTAACAATTACATGTGATCTGTAATCACTTCGTAAGTTTCAAAAAAAAAAGCTGCAAGATTTGTAATTTTTTCTCTTTCTCTTCTTTTCTATTCAGTGAATAAGCTTGAAAATTATTATTTTTTGCATAAAATTTAATCCTTCAAAAACTTGTCTTTTTTTAATTAATTTTTTTGAAATGGAAGAATAAAATTCATATTAAATTGAAATTAGCATTATTAATATTGTTTGCGAGCTTCTCAGTATTGTTTACTATTTCGTAAAAATTTTACTATGTTTCATATAATTAGTCATTTACGTCATCATTTATGAAATTATCATCAACATAATCCATAAATAGATTATTTTAGTATTTATTATTTACAATAGTTTGTAAGTTAGAAATTAAATTTCTTTGGAAATAATTTTTGTGGGATTAAATTTAACGTACTTGTAAATATTAGGATAATAATTATTTTGTAATCTTTTAGAGAGCACTTACTGACTGTTGTTTTAATTTTAAATCATATATTGAATTAAATTGTATGCTAACATGCATACAGTCTGAATTAAATTGTGTGCTAATTTGAAAATTCATGAAATTAAACTTTTGTGAAACTGGAAGCTTACAAATTTGAAGATATAAGAATGTTAAAATATTTATGCAAAATCTTTGATACTTCAGATAATGCAAACATTGGAATAATTTTAATGAGAACTAAATAACAGTCCAATAAGGGTGATATCTCACAAGTTTATCAGCTTAAATTAACATTATTTGTGAAAGAAAGTGTAAATTTTGCATATTCTTTGGATAAATAATTGCTAGCGCTGTTATAATTATCACAAATACTAGTACCATTATTATTGTTGATTTCTTATTTGTTTATTGCCTCAGTAAATGATTATGCAAATAATTAACAATTTGATAAGAAATATTTAATGATTAATTGGAACGATTCTTGAATTGTGCAAATTACTAAACTCATTAATATTTCTATTGATCATTAAGCATATAACATTTAGTTCTTAACAAACAAATAGTTTATAGGACCGCAAATTTTTTTTTTCAAAATTTATAGTTCTATAGTTAATGAAACTTATGAATACTAACTTTTCATCTGTTAATTTCAAATGCTTAATGAATAAAAATTGACAATGATAATAATGTTATGTAATTGAATTAATAAAAGCTTATTTTAAGTTCTGAACCGCAAATGTAGGTTTCAAATATGACACAATCATTTTGATACAAAATTAAAGAGGGAAAACAGATGGACCGATCTACCACAAAAGATGCAATCATTCGCAGATACCGGCAACCGCAGATGACTCTGAAAGCAGTATATTAGGTCCACAGCGCTCCCTTATCACTGATAGCCTAGAGGAGTCGCTCAGAACTGCATAGCAATTGAAATTTGGTATCTGAACATGTGGGATTGATGGAATTCCATCCTGGATCTGGAAGGTCTAGCACTCCATGCTAATTCCAGGCGCTTATTGTGAAGTGCTGAAACAAAGCTACCGACCTCCTAGATGCGGTCATCACCGCCTTGCACAAGGAAGCACAGTCATCGAGGTGTCACTTTGTACCTTGCAGCTGATAAAGTTTTTGCGATGGGCTTTTCGAACCGCTCTTGCGGTATTTTGATTTTTGTTCTCAGACAACCACAACTGTAGTAAACGGAACAATCAAAGAATTCTATGTGACATTTGTTAATCTCACCAAAGCATCAGTCACCTCAGCAAAACGGTTTATGGCAAACTTTATAAAATATTTCCTCAGGTCATATTTGAGGTGAAAGTGTATTTCCATCTACAAATTTTCATCCAAATGTAATCAAATTTATTTTCAATGCATTCATATATAGAATAACAAGTATGATATACAAGACAACAGCGCCTGTTGCTAATATTTATGAATAAAAATAACGAAACAGTAATCCATTCTGTTTAAAGTTAGACATTCTCATCCTTTTGTTTTGTGGTTTTAACTGCATAGTAGCTAGCATTTCCGTTACTTTCTGCAACTCCTCGTAACAGTACAAATCTCAAAATCATCCCAATTCCATTGCTTTAAAATTTGTCGCGATGTAATTGTTGATGATTTATAATAGAGAACGTTATCAGTGATATTTTTAGATCGAATTATGATTTTAAAAAGTAACTGTCTTACCTTATTCTCCATTTCGCTGATGCTGATCAGAATTAACTTACCAATTCAATCTTTTTGATTTTGTCTCGCTGTACAATAATTTTGCTCACGGACAAAGTTTAGACTCAAACGTTTAATGAACTTTTCTTCAGTATCTTTTTTATATGGTTGATATCTCTTACGCCAATTATCACGTAAAACGCCCACCACTGGTGATTATGAAAATCAGTTAACTGGTTGGGATAACTTGCGTAATTTGCATTCTTCCTTTTTGTTATTGATATTATTAGATTTGTATGATTGAAATTGTAACTGCTAAGTTCGCTCCACTATTAATCATTTTATCAGAATAAAAGTTTAATTATCCGAATTTGAGATACCGAGAAGAACCGAGGCGATAGAAACAACTCTCTTCAACCTTCGCTGTTGCTATCAGGAAAGAAATTAACGATGGCGCCTAACTGTCACACAATTTTATTGATTACTTTCATATGCAATAAAAGCTTTACTATTCCCAACAACATTTAAATATCTTCGAATTGACATCGTGATTTGCGCAAAATATTTCATTGCAAAATATAGAAATAATTGATGATAGTAGCTGATAAATGAACCAATCATGTAGCAAAATTCTCGTAAAACATCATAAACAAAGCAAAAAATGAATCATTTAAATAAGAAAAAATCAGTGGAAAAAAAAACAAAACCAAAGATTTGCGAAATGGAAAATTGCAAGAAATGAATGAAAATAGATTTAACTAAAAATACATACATCCTTACCAAATTTCTACTGCTCATAATTTTCCATATTGTTTCCAATTGTAAAACAAGTAATAGATAAGAAATTTTTTTTCCTCAAACAAAATTGCTATCTTAAAGAGATTTATAAAAATGATGCTTGGATAAAAATCCAAATAATAATAGCAACTGCACTGCTAAAAAGTAAAAGTGAAATCTAGAAATATTAAATGCTGAAACAATTGTTAAAATACTAAGATGTGAAAAAAAACTTATCAGTACGCACTTCAATTTATGTAAATTAAAAAAAAAAAAAGAAAACTGAAATTGCAGTTGTTTCTTACTAATTTCTTACGAATAAAGCTTGTAACTTAGTGTAACTATGTAGTATAAAAACGCTATGAAGATTTTCCACTTGCAAAATGCTTTTATCTGCTTTTCAGCTTCAAATCATTTACAAAAAGGTGCTATGAATGCCAGACTTGTACAAGCTATCCATTTCTAGCATTCAATAATGATGTTTTCATCATTATTAAACGATGTTTTGAAACTAAAAAATGAAATATATACAGGCTAATCATATGAACTAATGAACATTTTCGCAGAAGTTTCTATGAATTGCTTTTCGTTAAAACTATTTCTGACTGCATGCAAAATACAAATGCTAAACTAGCATAATACTTCGCCGGAAAAAACAAACAAAACATCGCAAAGAAACATTGTTAAGATTATGGGACAGATAAAGTGAAATAATTTAATCGGTCCCATTTGCAGCTTTCAAACTGCACTGGAATAAAAAATTTTTATGGGAAAAGGAAAAGTGTTTTAAGAACAAGATACAAATAAAACACAAAATAATTTTTCTCCCACACTTTGACAGAGGTAATGGTAATGATGTCCCAAATAGATAACTAATACTGCGATTTACCTTCAATGATCTCTAATACAACTAGTGAAATAAAAAAAAAAAAAAAAATGAACAGTTAAACTGTATGCTCAAGAAAATAAATCAGTTGATTTCTTTCTTATCCAACAAAGACAATTAAAAATTAATTTAGGAATAATAAACTTCAGTATATTCCAAATTCATACTGAAATATATTTCTAAGGATATGAAAATCTAGATCACAAATACTTATTTTGCATGATTCGAGCTACTGAACGTTGAACAAATTGCAAAATGAATGGAAAATAATAGTACTGAAAAAAAAAAAAAAAAAAAAAAATGAATACAGATGATGATAAAAATATATATTCATATAACATATATCAAAACAATTGCGAACTGTTTATATTTCACACTACGTATATTTTCCATCATATTTTCCATCACATAGGTTGCTAGAAATAATAACAGGGAACTTTTTTAAGTAGTAAAACCTACTTAACTATATGTTGGTAAATTACTAACGATATCGGCTAACACTTGATGCAACTGAAAATCTATTCATTCCTCTCGTCATTTGTAGAGTAATTCAGAATAAAATGAGTCTGCTAATACATCAAAGTTTTACAAATTAAAGAAATGTTATGCATATATTACATCGTTAATTGTAAAAAATTATTAGAAGTCAAATCAAAATCATGTAAATTTTAATTATGTAATTGCAAAAGATAAATGCAAGTTCTTTTTTTCAATAAAATCACGGAATAAGCAACAACAATTATTGGAAAATTTTTTGGTCTCAACACTCCAACTGAAAACACCAAATAACGAAAATAACGAACTAACATCGCTGAATTCATCAATCGCTTTCATCAATTGGTTCACGTAACGCACGTTGATAACGTTGCTTCTTTCCAGAATTATTCGAGTGTTTGCCACTTCTTTCTACCGGTGATTGGCTACTGCTTGAAGAACTACTGCAGCTTTCACTGGAATGATAAGATTGTTTTTCATCAAGACTATCTTTATCTCTTTCATCCTTCGAGCTAGAAGTATCATGTCGTCGACGTCTAATACGCACTTCGTCTTCACTACTGCTTTCTGTGCTTCCAGATTTTATGTTGTTTGTTCTTGGAGAATATGGTCGCTTTTGAGAACTACTTGCAGATTTGCGAACACGGCAAGAGGCGCTTCTTCGGCTTTCAGTGGAATGTTTACGATAGCGTCTTGGTCTACTACGGCTTCTGCTTACTTGACGTTTGGAATGATGAGTTCTGGATCTCTCTTCATGATGTCTTTTATATAATGAATCGTTGGAATGTGATTTCCGTCTAGATGATCTATGAGGCCTAGAAGTAGAACGATGATGACTACGATGTCTGGACTCGTGACTTTCTGAACGGCGCAATTTCGATCCACTTGACTCGACGTGATGCCTCCTGTGTTTGTGAAAATCACCTGAGTAACGATGTCTGTGTTTACCATGGTCAGATTCCAATCTCGAAAAATGTGAACTTCTTGACCAATGCTGTCTGTGGTTGTCGTCAACAGAATCTCTGCGTAATCTGTGCTTGTCAGAATCAGATCTCTCATTACCATCCCTTAGTAAATGAATTTTCTTTTCACGACTTTCAAGCTTTTTATTCTGATCTCTTGTATCCGGTACTGGTTCAGGAGAATGAGAAGGTGAGTGTATCTCATCTGAATTCCCGTTCAAGATATTTTCAGTTGCATCACCATTTGATGATGTTGTAGAACTATGTGTACTACCTGAATGATGCAGGAATTCATCATTGGAACTAGAACTGCTTCGGCTTTTATCTTCAGATTCTGGAGTATCATGCCGGTATCTTTTCTGCGAACTGTCGCTAATCTCTGATGAATGTCGATGCAATCGTTTGTGGCCTGAACTTTGTTCCACTTTTTCTTTACCTTCATTAGAGCCAAGAATCTTCATTTTTGACTCCTGGACATCAATTTCCATTTTAACAACATCCGTAAATTGTTTCTCTGGCAAAGCTATTTCAGTAATACTGGAATCTAAAACTGGAGTTTTATTTCTAGCATTGCCATTCGATTCCTCACAGAACGGTGGTGCAATTAATGAAGGATTTTTTTTCGAAGACATGCTATCGGGACTCAGTGCAGGTTCTGCTTTTATATCTTTTGTATCTGGAATGATTTCCCTCAACTTTGACCTACGACGTTTATCCTCCTCCACACTCGAACTATGCTTTTTAAATTGTTCCTGGCCTTCTCCGTCACTATGACCTAAAATATGATGTTTTTGTTTGCGGTCAGTATCTGAATCTGGAGAATATTGATAAGTACGACGCGAACACCTTCCTTTTTCACGGTGATTTCTTTTCTCGTCACGGTCATGTTTCCGACGTCGATCACCTAATAAGAAACTTTGATTAATATCATTCTAATAAAGAAAAATACTTAATGAAACACTCGAGTTTTTTCAAAACCATTATATATTAAAATAGCAAACATATATATAATTTGCTTTTAATAGCCACCTAATTATTTACATTATCATTATTATAAACCCATAACTTCATTAAAGACTTGGATATCTTACTTCCTGAATCGTTTCGACGATGCCAATCACTTCTATGATCATTACGCCTAGGATGTCTGTCACGCCGTCCTCCATCATCGTACCCGTATGATCGACTAGACCTGTAACCCCTAGGGAAATTGTTTAATCGAGAGGAACAAAATAAGGATAAAGATTTTATATGATGGTCTAGAAAGTTTCCTCGCAAAAATATGAATATAACAGCAAACAATAATGGAGTGATGGCGAATAAAGTTAAAAATTAGTGGAATAAAATCAACAGTAATTAATTCTTCTTAGTAATTAAGCACTGTTTGGTATAGCAGACAATGTTAACTCATTTTAATGCTGGTATCATGAAAAGGAGACAACCTTCGATAGTCAAAATGGTCATCACTGTGACTTTGATGACGATAAGAACGGTCGTAATGATCAGGTGAATCACGTCTGCGGCGCTTTTCACGATCAACAAAGCCACTAGCATTATAAGCATCGCGTCGATCACTTGAAGGTTCAACTTCTCTGCTAGAATAGAAATTGCAAGAGATTTAACATCAATCAAAGCAACAGTAAACATGAATAAATTCTGAATTTTAAGTGTCGTTAACAAAGTATTATAAGCTTTGTAAAGAAATATTACAATCCTGAAACAATATGCACTCAAAAAAAAAAAAGAAAAAAAAAGAAGACTTACGATTCCTTGATCTTTTCCGTCAAATTCCTTTCTTTATGAGATATGTCTTTAAATATCATTTGTACTTTAGCTTCTGATACTTCACTTGAATTACTACCGCTAGATTCATGAACTGAATTAGTTGAACTGTCGTCGCTATCTGAACTATATTCCAAAGAGTTATCGGATGATTCCTCAGATAATGAAGACGAGGAAGATGACGAGGACTCTGCCGTTTTTCGTTTTTTCTCACTTTTTTTCACCTGAAAAACATTAATTTAGAAATGACAATAGAATTTTCCAAAAAAAATAATCATCAAAAACAAACTTATTCCTAAACAGCTACCTTCACAAAAAAGTTCAGTCGTTCTTAATAACTTTTATAACGAAACACAATAGCACTGAAAAATGCAAAGACCACTCCAATCAATAAAGAAGGAATAGCAAAAGATTATAAGAATAATGCAAAACTTAATCGAAGAAAGATCACACGTGCGAAAAACAACTTAAATCAATATATTATGCTCTAAGAAAAAGTACTTACTTCGTCATCCTTTTTTTTCTTTTCTTTACTACCGTCTTGTTCAATTTCGTCCACTTTCAAGTCAACGCTTTTATTTAACCTGAAAGTCAATAAGTTTGTATTTACAATCTACATCCTAACACTTCTAATTCTTTTCTCTTGCGTCTATTTACACAAGTTTCGGTTTCTCTATATATATACGGTATGGACAAAACAGGTTTTCCATTAAATAAACTAAAGCATGTGGAATGATGATCTAGCAAACCTAATATCTAAAAACAAAAAAAATTTGTGAATAATTTGAAACTAAGAAAAATAGAAAGTAAAAAATTACTATATAGAATACAATTTTCATCACAAGAACTTATATAAAGTTATATAAAACTCGAGCTGAAGTTTTTGCAAAAAAAGAAACAGGAGAAAAAAGAAACAGGAGACAAGTTTATGAAAAAAACGAACTTTTCGAAAGACGTCCCATCAATAAAATCGTCTTTAATTCCAAGTGCAGAACGCATCCGGTCACGATTCTCCATAGCAGCCTTTGCACGGACATGCGTATCACGACTGTCCATTTCTGCATCTATGTCTAGTTCTCCGGATTCTACCTGACTTTGAAGAAGTTTTCGATACTCATTCACTTTTTTCTGGATTTCAGCTTCATCGAATCCCTGAAATTTTCGGAAATCTGTAGTCAACTAAATTATCACATTTTTTGTTTTATCACGCTTGCGAAATCAATTCGTAACCTGGTGAGAACCAACTACAGAATTCCTAAAGCGACAAATTGGCAATAAAAAATATTTAGAAATGTACATTTGTGGACAATAACATTGATAAAGCTAGGTCCTTTGAAGCAAGTTATTACGTCAAATCATTACAAGTTATTACGTCAAATCATTACTTGTTTTTTTTGCGACATGCCTTATTGCACAACATATTACTCTCCCGTTGTCTATGCTAAATCGTAACAAGGTTAAAGATAGTTATCAAGCTTCATTACAAAAAAAGAAAAGCTGCTGCATTTTGCAAAACTTTTAAAGCCCCCAACACTTTCATTTTTCATTTGGAACACTTTCATTTAAATAAGTCTAAGCTTACTTTATTTTCCATAAGCATTTCGAAATCAGCGCATTTCAATTCGATATGTCGTTTACGGTTATGTTCCAACAGTTCCTTGTTCGGCTGTTTGTTAATTTCAGCCTCAGCTCGTTTAATATCTGCTTCAGAGTTATACGCCACTCGTTTCTGAAATGAAATTCTTTTTGAATGAATGAAATTTGATAAGCCTTAAAGTTATTATCGCCTTCAAAAAAAAATGGAGCATTTCTTATCAACTTCCTACTTGCCATCGCCCATCTTACTAAAAATTTATTGAGCAGCAGAAAAACAACTAATATATTTGCAAGCAGATGTAAATAACTAAAGAGAAAAAGTGGAAACATTTCTTCGGATAGAATATAAAAGCTAAAAAGGAAAAAAAAACACTGTCAATTCGGGAAATAAAACCTTCGAGAGCAATAAGTTGGCTAAATTAGCTTGCACGTATCCATTTGTGCCCGATCCACGAGCTGTTTGCAATCCAATGCCGTTATACATATTGTAGGATCTGTAAAATAAAAATTTTTTCTTTAATATGAACCAGAATTAAATGTATTACCAAAATGTAAAATCCAAAAACAATTATAATCTAAACAACACCTATTCTCTTGCTTCTTAAATCATATGCAAAAGATTTAATCATCAATATAGTCCATAACAAAAACGGATATGTTGGAAAATCCCGAATGAACCCTACTGTGCAAACAACATTTTTTGTCTTCTAGTTTTATCTGTTCATTACATGGTCTGTAATTAATATATTACTATAGAAAACAAAGTTTAAATGTCTTGACTGTTCTAAAATTTGCAATTTATCAACACTGATCCATCAGCGAAAACGCGCGAATTATTTAAGCAACTCTGACAATTCAACGGTTAGCCATAAAGATAGAAGCTTTTTACTTAAATGCTTGAATTACAAATACTTGAATCACAAAAATAAACAAAAAGAATGGTTTAAATATCCAATAAAAGAATCTTATATTTAGCATAACAGCCATACACAAGTCAATATTTAAGTGAAGGAACAACAGGAGAAAAGAAACAATATGAAAGAAGATAATATCAAAATAGATAAAAAAAATAAGTTCCAAACTCATTATTATTCATTCTCCGTTCTCCTTCTCCAGTTAATTAGTCATTTAATTAAAAAATGATAATAAGCAATGCACATAAATACTCATTAGCATATTTTCTACCCTTCCTCTCTCTCTCATTTCTACTTTAAAGCGCATAACATTCATTTTACTAATTCTCTCCCAACACCTATATTATGATGCTCAATTACTTCACACATTTCTCTTATCATTCACTCCTTACAGTCGCATCATTGCATTTTTTATTTATAAATCTCTACTAAAATTACGTGAAGTAACACAAAATAAATGATATCCGCATCTTCAATGTACTACAATAATTTAGTCCCACATTATTAATTAACGTCTAAAATTAATCGTTGGAAATTTACGTAAAGATTCAAAGCCAACTAAGCAAAGTAAACTATTCAATCATCACTACAATCATCTACCCCATACTTTTCTCAAATGACAACAAATTTTATTTTACCTCCAAGATATTACGAAACCTAATTTTACATGCAACGATAAACGAAATAACATGGCTCGCTACTTTCAACTTAACATTTATAAGTTTAGCAATAAATTTAAATTAAAATCCAAAAGAAAAAAAGATCACATATAATATGTTATGCTAATATGCGGAATATAATTTTAATTTTAAAAGAAAACAAGTTTTAACTCAACTGTAAATAAACAAGAAAAAGCGAAACTAAATACAAAGTTATTTCACATTTAATATTTAGAATTAGTTATTATTACTTGTCACTTATCATTTATTATTACTTATTTATCAATCTAATATCTACAAAGTGCACACCACTTTATTGTATCAAATAAGTATAATTAGGTGATAATGGAATAAAAATAGTAGTATAAACTTATTGTTAATTACTTTATCCTAATCTAATCAAATCATTTTTTCTATCGTTTTTGACCTGAATAAGATCAAAGCATAATAATACAATAGTTGATGCAAGTACTAATTAAATATTTCAAATATTTACATATTGCTAGTAATTCAATCAATTCAATTTGGTTTCAATCATTTTTTGAAGATTTTATTCATATTATTATTATTGCTTTATTTGACCAATTTTTCAGATATTTAATATAATTTTACTAATAGATGTTACATAAAAAAAAAAAAATAATTTCTCATTAGACTGTCATTTTCATTTTTGGCAAAATTTTATACAATGAAAAAAAGGAGTGCAATAAAATGGAAGTTGAGATAACTCAGGAAATTACAATGATTGTTGAATTTAAAAAAAAATTTTAATTAAAATTAATATTTGATAAATATTGTAATTAAATGATTGAAATTCAAGAATTCGATTCTAATTAAAGTATAAACAAGAATGTGTTATTTTTTTTTCCAATTTACCATCTAAATTATCATCAAAATGTACGCAAAGGATAAGAGAAGTACACGAAGCAATAATATCCATTAAAATTTAGTAACGTAAACGACATAAAATTAAATATTTATCTAAAAAAAAAAAATGCAAAAAAAAAAAACAAACGTTTCAAGTTGAAAAAGCTTTAAAAAAATTAACAAATTATCATAAATAAATCTTTCATTAGTAGTAGATGTATAAAGATCAGAACTTATTACTTAAACATAATTTTCCAATTTTATTAATCTTTAGCGTAACGAATTCGAAATAATTTACGAGTTAATTGATAATTTATAGTGATAAGAATCATTGTCCTCATGAAGCCACTATTTTCAGTTCAGTTCTAGCAGAAAAAGAAAATGTACATAGTCTAAAAAATTCTATTCTGTCAAAAGAAATTAGTTAAACCATTAAATTTCGGTAAAATTTTACTTCTTTATTCATCTACTGCTATAATTGTTTGAATTTCGTTTCTAAATAGAAATTAATAAAAAATATACAAAAAATAGTAAAAAGGAAATTTTTAGATGCAAAAAATTGAAAATTGATTTTATGATAAGATCTGATAACTCCTTTCATCCTCACTTATAATTCTTATTTATCAATTGACAATATTAACTCCCAAATAATAATAGTGATAATACTAATTTCAAATGATAATGCACGTGTTGTTAATTATTAGACACCAATTGCTGTTATTATTGATTTCAAATGATAATGCTCTTATTATTAATTAATAGATATTACTGATATATCGACTTTAAGTGATCATGCTTACAGTATTAGCTTCAAAAAACGAGGATGTATGTTGGGATGAAAAAAATCACAGCAATTTTCGATATTATTTTTTGAAAGAGAATTGATCAATCAAGAGAATTGAAAGAGTTTCATAGCCATATCAATAGATAAACAAGAAGCTACAGAACAAAAATCATGTTGCTGTGTCTATTCTGATAAACATATAACATATATTTTTGAAACATTTTAAAATGTGATTTTAAAATATTCCCTTTCATTCATTCCAGTAAAACTAATAAAAAAGATTCATCAAATGAAAAAGCTGATATAATTCAGACAAATAATGCGACAATTTCTCATATTAACCATTAATCTGTTTGAGTTAATTTTTTCTAGAAAAACAGAAATTAATAGATTATATTATGAAATTCATCGTTTATTATAGAACAAAAATTTCATTAAAAGTACAAAAATATATAATTTAATTAAAAAAAGGAATAAAAAATGAATGAAGAAGATAATTTAATAGATATTGCATTCAGAATTCTTACGCAAATTTCAAAATGCAATCGATTGAATCATAGACTTTGATAAAATACAATACTTTTTATGTAATAACTCTTCCCTCTCTCTCTCTCTTCTGTCATAGAAAGCCTTTTAATTCAAATAAAATGACAATCTTTGACACTTCAATAACTTATTTTCTTCTCAGAAAAAAAAGATAGTGAATTTCTCTTACCTATAATTAATCTAAAACATACTAAAATTCAAAATAATCATAACATTTCAAGAAAATTTCTTATAACTTTGTCATTTCTAAACTTTTTAATTTTGCAGTATTGATTTTAATATTGTCAACACATATTTTATTGACACTTCAATTTATTCTACAACGAGGATTGAATAAATTTCAAACAAATAAGAGTGATTACTAAAAAACTATTTGCACATGAAAAAATATATTTTCATGATTATTATTCATTGATCATTATTTATTACTTATCAATCCTTATCAATGAAGAAATTGCTATTTAAGTAACCGTAAAACTATTTACTGCTATCAACTCTTACTAAGTGCTATAATTAAACTGAAAGTAGATTTGATATCAAAATTTATTTTGATTTTACATTTGCACCAAAAAAAAAGAAAAATTAAACATTTAAAAATATAAGCGTGGTGGAAATAAGGCTTTCAAACAATGTACAAAAGTTCGTCAAAATCATTTCTCAATTCACAATAAACGAAATAGAATGAACCAGAAGAAACAAAAACCAAATCAGTAATTAAATTTAATTTTTAAAAGTAAAAAAAGAGTGAAGGTTGATAGTGAGTGTAATCATTTGCTTCATTTATTTGACTTAAGCAATTTTATTCACTTCTCCTACTACTTCGCAGCTAAATAAAATTTATTAAGATTTATTTTATTGAGGGAAAAAAAAATTTCTTGTAAATTCAAGTTTCATACTTTATACAACAGAAACCATTTTTAAAACAGCAACATTTGAAAAATATTCTTTTTCAAATTAGAAATGAAGCAAATTTTTTCGAAAAAGAGGGAAAAAAATAAGATCAGATTATCAGTTTCTTTTTTCATTTGGGAATAGAACACTTACAAAGAATAGTAAAGTTAGCAAATTGATAGGAAGAAATTTACCAATTCTAGAGCACAACTAAGTCAAAATGTTGAAGATCTCACAATTTCCGTTATTTTTTCAATACAATAAATACAATAAATTCAGTTGTATTTGCAATTTGCAACAGATAGAATACATATCTTTAATTGTATTATCAATGAAATTTATGAATAACAAAAAAATAAGATAAATGAAAAAATAAAAAAAAAAATAATGAAGAAAAAAATGATTTCTAACAGTTGAGGTACATAGAAGAAATAAGAATGAGTTAGATCGATTGTTTTATAACGCTTCACTTTTTCTTTTTAATGATTTTAATATATAGAAGCATTTATAAATATGTTTTAAAAAAGAAATTATAAAAATGGTTGTAAAACACAAATCTCATCTCTCTCATTTCACCCAATTTTTGCGAATATTTTAGGTATAAAATACAGACAGTTTAAAAAAAAACAACAGAATTCCACATGTCATTAAAAAAAATTGATTAAGCTAAAAAGAAAGAAAGAAAAGAACGGCAATTTATTAACAGAGATAAATGACAAACAAAAAACAAAACAAAAAAAAGTGCAAAAACATGTAATAAGCAGAGATCGGTGTATACTCTTCGGATATTCTCATCGGAACGTTTCGCGAACTAATCACCATTTGCTAAACCACTCAGACTATTTTTTAGTTTTTTTGGCTGTTTTTTCCTGGAATATTTTGCAACTCTTAGATACGCATTTATAAATTGTTGTACAAGCATAGGAAAAGCATGAAAGTCCCAAATCAGAAATTAATACACTACATCAGTCACATATGAAATCGTACGGCGATATTTTTGTGATTTTTTATGTTAGCCTTGTTTTTTCCTCTTTATACTAGATGTTGTTTTCACTCAGCACTTCCCAATCTTTTTTTTTTTTTTATAATTTTATAAAGCTTATTGTATTTTTATACTCTTTAAATAGCATCTGATATTAATTTTTTGTACAAACATTTGAAGATACTAACCCCTTTTTTACCACTAGCTCGTGTTTCTATCGAAGATTTAACTTTCACTATACGCTCACGAAATTGTTTTTCGAGAATATCAGCGCACTGATAAATAGCTGAATCTTTTGAATTAAATATTCGAGCATTTTCAAAAATTTGTGCTATATCAGTAGTAAATTCTTTCAAGCTATGGTATTCGTAATGTTCCAGTTTTTGTTGCACAATGCTCAGATCTGTAAATGGAATATTTATTCAAGCAGCTCATAATAAGTTCTAAACATAACACGCTTATTAAATACCCGATGATAACTGATTTTTTCTTCACTACAAAAAATACTGGAAATGAAAACAAAAATTGTCGAGAACTTAACTGTATTTATACGAAATGAATTTTATTAATGATAAATCAATAAAATTTGAAAACTAACCCATCGGTTTTTTAATAATAGAATAATAATCCGGATGATCTTTTTGATCAACTGCTTGTCGAAAAGGCCAGCTAGTTCGATGACTCTTTAAACTATCAAAGGCATGCCAAAGAAGATCGAAATCAGGACGATCAAGTAATATAGGCGGTGAAGATGAAGTACTCGATTCATTTGCTTGCTTATTTTGTGTACATTGAGGGCACAGATATTCCGCTGCTTTTTCGGCATCCCTAAATTCCCTGTCATTAGGCACAACTTTCAATTCATTTATTGTCATAATCACTACAACTTAATTTGGATATTAGTTTTTAGTACTTCTCGATAAAATATTCATGCATATAAACTAAACTTTTCGTACTTCAAGTCATTTTTCCAAAAATGCAGTTTAAATCATATGAAGGACTTGTAAATAATCAAATAATGTATAAATGTTAAAGGAAGAAAGGATGTTTTACACTTTTTCTGCACTCTTTTCTTTCGCAACTTTCTGAAAAAGATCCTTAACGAAAAACGGATCCAAAGACAAAGACGATTTGTGTTTTTGAGAAAAAAACACATACTCTTGAGTGATGTCAACACACCGTGGATGAAACCATCCTTCACATCCATCACAGCCAACATAAAATTGTGAATCATCGTATGGAGTCTGGCATACACAATATAGTTCCTAAAATATGTGAACTGAAAATTAATCGCTACTTTTAATGTATATCAATAACTTTTCATCTCTTTCTTCTACTTTAATGATCTTTATCAAATATTGCTAACATTTACTAAAATTTGGAAGAGTAACGAAATATGAAAAACAAGATTAAATTAGTAAGCTAACGATGGCGCAACAAGACATATAAGGCCTAATACACATTATCTGAAAAAAGCTCACAATTTCAACCATCTATTTTGTCCAATTTACTGACTTCCTGAGATGCCAGTAATTTCTACAGTCAAAACACACCTAAGCCAACAGGTGCTGAATATTTTAAACCACTTTAAAAATTTTCAAAAACTTTTCCAATATGATCGCAGTATTTAAAACTGAATCGTTACCGCTCAGAGACACATTCAAACATCAAGAAATCTACTTGGTAAAAAAACATGGCAATCTCACTAATAGGCAGCAGAAACCAACCTTTTCAGAACTTTTTTGCTCTTTCGCACAATCTGCACACAACCAACTTGTCATTTTCTTTGACTTTCTTTCTGATATGCCAACACATTTACCATGGAACCACTGATAGCATAAATCGCAACCAACGTAAAACCTGAAAATGAATAATTAAAAACTGAAAGCTTGAAAATTTATTTCCTTCACCTGTTACAAGAAAAATATTTTTTATTTTCTAGTATCTAACAAGAAGTATTATATCTTAATTAAGTGGGTTTACTACACAAGACATATTAATTGCATTCGTCAGACAACTAAGTACTCGTAACTTTAAATAAATAGTAAATGGACAGAATAAAGAAGTAATTATAAAACAATACTTTTTCGGGTCATAAGGCTGATTACATTTGCAGTGTCTTTTTGTGGTATCGATGTCTGGAATAGATTCTGAACATGCTGTTCCTGGTCGTGACGACGTTGAAGGAGTGGTTCCACGTGTCATACGACGCTGTTCTTTCCGAGCTTTTCCATTTGTCTTCGTTTCACTACTATCTGGTATCTGCGATGTCGACAGTGATTCAATTTTGATAAAACTTTCGTCCCACTAAAATTGTTGAAATCAATAGTTAGGTAGTCTAGGAAAGTAGTTCTAAGAATTCCTGTTATTAGTACAATTAATGATAATAAACCTGATGTGGCATGATAATGCTTTCTGAAGATGCACAAAAAAGTATACAATTAAGAGAGTTGATGAAATTTCTATCCACGATAATCGCACATTTCACTTTTCACCACATTCTTTGACCAAAATTACAGAGAGTCGATACTTTTTTACAAAAATAAAGTATCGCAAGTTCCGAACACTGCTGTTATCTTGCTATAAAAGAGGAAAAAATTTACACTCTTTTTCTTCTTGCTTCTCTCACTACGCCGCTGTTGTGAGGTGTCTTCCACTTGTTGTCCCGAATCCATTAAAGGTTGATCCTTTACTGACAACTCTCCTGATTGCTGCTGAATGGATAAATCTGGTATCAATCCCGTAGTTTTCGCACAGTGCACATTGCTATTTTCGCTTGGAAGTTGGATAGTCGACTGTTCATCTACCTAAATTTCTATTCATTATAAAGTTTATAAAAGTTATAATTATAAAAGTCTAATTATAAGAATTAAAATCAAAAACTAACTGGAAGAGACTTGTATAAACCCAATTAGAAAGAAACCTTATTCGATGCTGTTTCGTCGGAATGTATTATACCACCCAACGATATGGTACTTGGTTCTACCGGCATTCCTGCTATAGCTTGCAATTGTGCACTTGAATCGGGAAAAAGTTCACGTGCTCCTGCAAAAATAACATAAATTTACTTTGAAAAACTGATACAGAGAAGCTGTATTTGGAAGATCGAAATTTATAAGAGAGAGAGAGAGAGAGACAGAAGTGAAACTAAGATATTCAAAACTATGAAATTTCAAATCTAACAAGTTTTATCTCAGTAATGTGTAGAAAACTGCACAGCAAAAATTCCAATCTCTTCGAGATAAATTAAAGTATTAGAAAAAAGGTATCTACAAAACCAAGTTAATTAATCGAGAATTCTCTTTTCTCTTTTGAGCCATTCTCAGCTTTTGATCAACTTTTAAGCCTCACTCTTCTCAGGCCTACTTCGAGGCCGGCGCCATGGCGCAATCATTCCGGCCTCGGCCTCTGCTCTTTCCTCTAACTTAAGACGCCTTTTATTGACTTCTCTCTTGAACCATTCAATGCGCTCACCCAACTCAGTTTCAAGTTGTCTCGCTGAAAGGCGTTCAATTTTCAGTGCCCTAAAAATTGAGAAATAAGAAAAAAATGTGATAAAAACTACATTAACAGAAAATAATAACTGATTCCGCTTCACTGGAATCAGTTTAAAAGAAAAAAAAGCTCGCCCATCATTGAAAGGGTAATGTAATACCTTTGCTGCATTTCACGGCGCTTTCTTTCTTCCTGACGTTCTTCAAAAATACGCTGAATGTGACGTCGATGCCAACCATTTTCAGCATCCATTATGCAAACTTCAGTTATCAAATTGTCAAGCACCTGAAAAATGAATTCAAGAAGTTCTGAAGTATAGCATAAAACATATTAAAAGATTTAACAAAATTTGCTGCTTTTAAATTCCCAAAATTTGCATATAATATATCGATAATCCAGTGTTGCCAAAGAAATAGTACAAATCTACGAAGCAACAAAAGTTTGATTAGAAATCAGTAATTTGTGACAAGAAAAGAAACTTCTTTTATAACTCGCTGATCGACTTGTTCAAACGGACGAATGTAAAGATTGGAACGGATATCAATGGTTCCAATATATTTTATATGGGTACGACTACTGGCATAACTGTGCCCCACTGATGATGTCATATCTGTTAATTCGTTTTGCGTCTTACCATATAATGACGATACTAAAAATGAAAAAATTAAAGAATTTACGATTTTGAAAGACGATATTCAAAACTAAGAGAGTAATTACGGATAAGTGAATATTTAGAGACCTTCTATTTAGCGTATACGAGATGTTCTTAATTTTGTCCTTTACTCTAAGTCACTTCTAATAACATGTTCTCAGTTGTCATGCAGATATTCATGCTATTATGGTTCCGGACTGCAAGTCTCCAACCAACTACTTGCCACCTTCTGTTTAGTATTTTCACAGTAAATTCGTGCTCATTCTAAATCTTATGTAAAATTTCAAAGCCTTTCAGCCAACCGAAACGTACATATAGCATCGGAGCGACTTTGATATTAAATAGTTAAACTAAACAATAGCCCTGCACAGACTGTCATAAAGAATTTTTTAAAAGCATTTGAAATAGCTAAAAACTATCCTTTGTTTGCTAACCAGTCAGGTATTTAATGACTTTGAAAATACAGCGGTTTACCCTCAAATATCAGTCATTAAAGTGTTGTGACATACAATGGCACTTTCTAGAAGCATATAACAACATACCGTAGAAGAGTTGTAATGCACATGTTATCATTACTGCAGTCTAATAGAGATCACTGTTAGTTGCAATGAAAAAAAAAAAAAAAAAAAACTCTGGTAACTAAAAAAAAAACAGTTCGGAAAAATGGCCGATGAACTCTTCAACATCGATAACGAAATGTTTCCATTATTTGGCCATTCTTGTAGAACAATTAAAAAAATGTTCTGATGCTGCAAACTACTTGAAAATGGAAAATAAAACAATGTTTCTTAATTACTTTCGAAATTTTGAAACATGGATTATACGTGACATTATAATAACATAATTATGAACTTTTCGCAATAGACCATGCCACAACCGCTTCAGTCATCAAAGTTTACGAGAATGAATGAACCAAAAGCACTGCTAGCATAGATTTTACCCATAGTCATTTCCCCTTCCTCCCCCCCGCAAACCAGAAAAAATTATCTTTCAACGGAAGATTCAGCAAATTTCATAAAATAACAATAATCAGCAATATACCTCCTCGTCCATGGAGTCTCACTCGAACTACTTCAGCGCCATGATGTGCTCGTACAGTAACTCTAAGAAGGAGTAACTTTTATTTTTCCTAATTTTTAATGACCTCAATTGAAAAAAAAAAATGGCACGACTTTTGCAGTTGTTAAACTTATTAAAATGAACCGATTTTAACCTCCCAATAGTACTATTCACTATTCAACTAAGTGCAAAAAAGAATCTGGGAAACCCGTACCCTGCTGTCCTGGTTTCTGTTCGTACCATATTCGCGTATCTATCACCACCAATTGCTGAAGATCCGGAGCCAACCTGGAAAATGGACTTTGGTAGCTTCTAATTACCCGTCTTGTCTGTTTCCTAATCTCTTACGGAAATGAAATCATCTAAATGGATAATTTTTCAAAGAATGCATGATCGTGTGACTTGCAAAAATTACTTTTAGAATATTTTTATTTTATGCACAAAAATAGAAACATGAAAAATATAGAGATGGTAGCCAAAACCAAAAATCAAAATCGGCTACCACTCAAATAGTGAAGAATCGAAACACAAAGTTATGTAAAAGTAGACGAATGTATCATCTAGTACAAATCATCCATATAAGAATATGAAATTACAATTTCGTGATGTTAATATATTAACAAAATGAAGATTTCGCTCACTATTATTTCGAACACTGTTCAGACGATGTGTAACAGAAGAAACTAACCGACAATAGGAGAAAAAATAACAGATGCCTTTTAAATGACAAGAATAGTGAAAGGTACCTAATAAAAAATTGGTATGGAGATTTCGTTGCCGAGTAATAGGAATATAACGAGGATGTCTCAAAATACGCAAAATGTATCGTCAGATGACAGTGTAACTATAGGAATATTATGGAAAATCTATGCAATCTTCAACTCATCTATTCTCAATATTACATAAACCTAACGTCTACATAACATTCCATAAAATCCAACAAATTAAGACGTTAACACAAAGTCACACGATCATAGCAATTTATGAAAAATTATCTGAAATGCAACGAAAGTATGAAGCAACAACCAATGGTCCAAATTGGGAGGAATAACAAAGTAATCCTATTACATTATCTTTATCAATTCCCTTTATTTTTGCCCAATTATAATTTCACGACCAACTTGGAATTTAATTTCAGCTTCTATCTACTGCATTTATTACTTCCACCTTTCGAAATTTCTTGAAACTCTGAAATCATATTTCTGATCTCTAACCACTCGTCTAAACGCAATATAAGAGATTCATAGATCAATATATCACTAATGTAAAGCTATCAAATCCCGGTATAGGCCTGCAGATCATCATTATTGTAGTAACCACCACTTATCTGAAACTCAGCACTTAGAATGAAATTAATCTGGAGAAATGTACTGGAGGCCTATAATTCACGGAACTGCAAGCCCACTAAAATTACAGTCAGTTAGCTTTCTGGTTCCATTTCTGAAATAAGCTAAACAGAGTTCCTACTTACCATAGGGTCATGGTCACCAAATATATGACCTGATGATGTTTGTTGATCGAGAGATGAATGAACCACTGCTGTTAAACCTTGTCGAGGCTGAACTGTTACAGCTGGTCTTGTACTGCTAAGAAAAGGTTCATTTATAACAGTAAAAACACCTTTCGAAATCCGAATTTAATAAATTGAGGAATCAAAATCTTATTAAATTAATTGCAATCTAACTAACTCACAAAATTTTCATATTTTGAAGAATTTTTGAAGAGACTGGCATAAAGGAACAACAATTTACCCAGAAACTGGAGCTGTTCCAAGTGGCTTTCCAGACGACCGAAGACCTTTTTCTGTCAATAAACGATACTCCTCGTCTACTTGTGCCGTACTAGGATCGGTGGAATGATCACTCAGCATCTCATCGCCATCCACTCTTCGCTTCTGTAAAACGTTAAAGTTGAATTCCAGATTTGATTTTTCAACAGATTAATTCGCTGTTTGTAAAAAATGTTCATCATCTTTTACAAAAATAAAATGCAGCGGTTCATCATCAAGGAAGTGATTAAATCAGAACAATTATATTTTATTGAAATATGAACTATCCAGCTGGAACGCACAACTATAGGATCAGTCAACATCACTATACTTTACCGGTTGCATTCGGCCAATTCGCACTGTGGATGAAGCTTGATTTTCAGAAGATGGCTGATTTACTACTGATACTGTTCGCTGTAAATTATTACAGGATAAATAAGGAATGCTAGAAAAATCATTTATTACTAAGGAATCAAGAAGCTTATTATCATCGAGAATAAAGTTGTAGAATAATTACCAATTCGCCTCCTTCTATCAACATACTCAATCATGCACTTATTTGATAATTCAAAGCAATTCAATCTGCCTAATAGCACACATTTGACAGCCATACTCATTTTTTACTAATCGTATGACATTTGTAAGTCCAAATCTTTTTTTTTTTTTTTTTTTTAGCTTATACACTGATATTCAATTTGCATATTTTCTAAATTAGTTGATCAATAATACCTACCGCAGGTAATCTTAAAACTCTTCCCACTGACTGGTTACCAGTAAAAACAGTTCGAGTAGTACCAAGCGGACGAACAAAGGGAGAATCTATAAAAACGAATTTTAGAATTTTGGAAACGATGAAAATATTGTCAGTGCTGAAGGATAAGAATGAGAACAAGCATAAAATATAATGTAGTACTAAGAAAAAAGCTATCCTAAGGGAGATCAAAAACGCATACTTGTTGCAGAACCTCGAACATCATTTATTGTTGCACCACCAGCCTGAAATGATATTCACACTGGTGAAACACGACAATATAAATATATATAAATTCAATTAATCCAATTTATCGTACTTTCCTCTTCTTCTCTGATAATATAATTCATCAAAATTTCCTCGTTCCACAATCTTCATATTTCTTCATAACTTTTTAGTACCCTGACAACATCGAATCCCGGGATAAATGAGTGGGAGAATAAACCGAACTGGCGAGTTGAGAAACAGCACGACTGTCAGGGAGTGATGGTATAACAAAAACAAGAGAAATAACAAAGATGAAAAGGCAAAGTGCTTGAAACGTATTTCTTTGGAGAAAACAATCAAGTATCTTTAGAAAATGCGAATATGTACTTGTGTTGTGCGAACCGTTCGATATGCACCAGGTGTACCTGTACCAGTAGTAACTGGCCTTAAATACTGCGTCGTGCCATCACTCCGGCGAATCAACAGCAATCTTTTCCCCACTGGTGCCTAAAATTCAAACAAAAAAGAAAACCTGCAAAACCTTAAATTAGCAAAGTCCTATTAAGAAGACAGCCACAACTTCACGAAGTTCTGTATGCACATAGGAAAGATTCATGCCATAGGGATTCATGTAGAAATACAAATAATCTTGAAAAAAAGAAGTATGTCAAATTACTGTTTAAACCAACCACAGGAGATCCATGACTCGAGCCTGGAACTGATACAACTCTTCGAGTGACTGGTATTCGCACCGATTCACGTTGATAAGTTCCAGTTCTTGGTTGTGAAGCTATCATTGGCGGTGTACGAACAGATCCTGGAGCACTCGCTGTCCTGGTACTCTGCGTTGGATGATTCTGATACACCATTACTCGACAAAACGTACCATCCGGTTTCTAAATTTAGTTCAATTTTTTAAAAAATCTAGTATTATATGACCAAAAGTACCATAGACTTTCAACAGATGCTAATACGTCCTTGGATTTAATTAATAAACAGTGAGCAATATAAAATAAATTGGTTGTATGTAGCATTTTCAGCACTTTCAGCCCGTTTTCAAAATCAAACACTTCTAGTCCATCTTAACTACTGTAGTTACCCTTCGGAAGAATATGATTCGCTCTAGCTAAAATAAAGACCAAAAGATAAAGCTAACCTGAAACATAGTATACTTCCCTCCTCCTAATAATTCACCTGGTCGTCTGGCCACTTGCTCATACTGACGAAGTATATTCGGATTTTGCCACTGCGCTTTATATGGACTAAAATACATTAATAATTAAATCTAAGGAAGCTCGATATAGCAAAATCCCTAAATAAATTTGACATTTAACATATATTTTCATTCTTTTACGTACAAGATTTTATTGAAGAGCAATCATTTGAAAACTGAAAGAGAATTCCGTTAAGCAATGTTCAATAAATTTATAATCACCTTTCAGCCAAGTGTCTTTCCGATCTCTGTTCTGATAATCGAGAAACTTTTGGTCTTGGTTCTAAACTTGAATTCGATTTTTCAACAATACTTGGCAATGTTTCGACGTCGATATATTCATCATCGTCATCTTCGTCCTCATCATCTTTTATGTCATAATCGTAATCTGGCATGCGTTTTGGTTGCGGACGACGTCGCTCACCAGATATGCGGTTAGAATGAACTGTCGGCGACTCATGGTGCTTAATAACTGGCGCAGGAATTCTATTACCTACTGAAAACAATTAAAAACATAATCTGTATCAAACAGCTATCCTATTGCATGATAAGAATATGACTACGTAGGGCTACATAGAATACTTCGAAAAGCTGCTTTTGAGAACCTGTGACAACCGATGGTGCATTCAAACCACGTCTCGCCCGATTTTCAATATTCTTCCAATAATTAGCTATTTCCCAAGGTTTCAATTCAATACCATCGATCCATCGCTCAACCACTTTCACATGATCTTTCCTTACTGCCCCGTTTTCCGATCTCCCTCTTGTTGCTTTTCTTTTACGCAAAGCTGAAATAAACCGTGATTACTATTATGCCATCGAAGTCCATCAAAACATATACTGGTCAAAAGACAATGAATGTTTACAAAAGTTAAGCTATCGCAATCTCCATTAGTCGCATATTACTATGCTATGCGCCAAACCATTAGCATTATCCTACTCCCGTTACAATGGAGCATTTTCCTATGACATAAATCAATAACTGTGAAATAAACTGAAGAAAAATTCAAAAAATAAGCTTACTTTTCTCTAGCGATTTTGATGGATGATATGCAGCACTTCCTAAGCCTTCATTAGCATCATCCAGTTCAACATTGTCATCCAGAGGAATTAGCTCTACACTAAGTTTATATTGTTCATACATGCCATCTGGTGGATATTCCTTATGACCAATCACTGTTCTTACTTCATCATGATCCGCAAGATGGACTGTAACTCGAAAATCCTATAAAAGTGATTTTTAAGCAAAGTATTTCGAGAAGAACCAACCAGCATTCTATAACAGCAGCTGTCTCAAAAATAAATATTCTGAAAATACAAATAACTAAATAGCTTTAATAAAGAATATCTAACACTGGAAGTATTTATTTCCTCCTACTGTGAAAGTTCAAAATATGACGTACAGCTTTCCTATCTTGATTTAAAGAATAAAAAGAAACTTCATCTGGTTCACGATGCATATCAGCCCATCGAATGCACGCATATAGTACTCGAAGATGCAAAGCAATCGAGTGGTATGACTGAGCACGTAATACTAAGTATCTGCAATTATGAAGTGTTTATATATATTGAATTCAATCCGTACATAACAATAGAATAATTCCTTCCAGCAGATCAAAATTTTAATTTTTTAACAAATGTATTATTAAGAATGTACATCTCTCTTATGTCTACGGATTGTACTTTCTTAACAGTCAAACAGTGAAACGTTCCCGCATATGCAAACACAATGAACATATTAAAATGTTAAAATACACGGAAACATAAGGATGATGCACATCTTAAAACACAATTTTCAGCTGATGTGATTAATAACTACATTACAAAGAGTGCTTTCTAGTTCAAAATTTGCAATATTTCCAAATATGAAAGATTATTTCACTCTCCATAACAAATTAGCAAACCTCCAGCAGTTATCAAAGAGTGGTCGTTGACACGGGTAGTTCCATACTTGATTGTTACTTTTAGCCAAACGATGGAAACCAGGAGCGAAATAATTCAAATTTATTCCACCCTGGCGAGCCAAACGTTTTAAGGCTCTGAAAAACTTATCTGTAAGCTCTTAAGAAGACTACTGTAAAAATTAAGTTTGGTCTATTCAAAGTATTACAGTGTTGGAGAATTACGGCGTAAGCAGTTCAAGAAAATGGAGATATAATGCTGTATAACTACACTGCAACTGTTTACCCTAACTGGACGCAACTAGACTTGATCCCATGTTTCTTGAAAATATCCGTAGCATTATCACCCAAAGAAGCTATAAATGATTACATGTATAGATCTCTAAAACATTCAAAGAGATAATATTTTTCAACAAAAGAAACTAACTTCTGTGGTAAGATTAATAAACTTTGTTCACCAGTACGTCTGACTCGATAATCAAATGGTAGCGGAAGCGGAAACGGTTTATTCATCTCCAGTGTTTTTACATCTTTCCCATTTTCTTGCTGAGATTTTGACGGTGACGAAGATGGAGGTCGTGCATGCACAACACTACTCGTGGTTCTTCCCACTAAAATTAATTGTGTGTAGTGGAAAAGCTAATATTTTAGACGTACAAAAGAATTTTGACGGTCACTTAGATCAAAAAAAAAAATGAAATTTTACAAAAGGTTTGAATTTTTTATAATAACAAAGCAGAACGTACTGGACTGCGATACTGCTTGACGACACGTAAGACTATAACAACCTTGAACACTATCATTTTCTGAGGTAATCGGTAATGGCATTATACCCATTCTACACGTGGGAGAATAGCACTTCTTCAAAAGTTCCTTTTGCCACTTCCTGAAAATAGTTTTATTTCAACAGCACTTAAAAATTCATGGTCTAATTTTTTTTTTCTTTTGGGGGAGAGGAAGGGTTATTTCATTACGTTAGGCGTCATCTCTGCAGCTTGATTACATTTATGATTTCAAGAATTCATATGACATGCACAAAAAGATCTGTTAACCTGAAACAAATTTACCTCTCTTCTCCTTCCAATTCTGCAATTCTCCACTCGTTTAGACATTTAACAATTTTTTCCAGATGAATTGCCTTCCTATTTGCCAATGAAGTGGGCTGGAACATTTCAGACAAATGAAACATTTATCAAAAATCGAAAAAAGGGGAATAATTTCAATATAGAGATAAATTTTTTCAACTTAAAAAATTCGTTCATTTTGTAACAAATTAAAAAGAACAAAAGTACATATTCGGTTAGAAGGCATAGCCTAACATGGATCTCCTTAAAAAATACTGTATTCGTCAAATTTCTTGGTTTTTGTTAACAATTAATAACATCAACAGTTAAATAAAAAGTTTTATTAATAAGTTAGCGAAATCTACTAAAACATTAGAGAAAGCGGTATACTTCTAAAATTTTGCCAATATTCGGCTTTTCAGCTCGTGGAATAAATGTTCGATGAAATGTATTAGATTTCCACAACCAACCACCAAGAGTACCACGACCATTCACTCGATAACCTTCATCATTCTGTCGCCATAAAGTTCTCTTAAGGATTGAACCAACCTTATGGTGTTTCACCCAAATTACTTCGTCATCATCTGGTTCTGCTGCCCAAAGCTCCTGCATAAAAATTCCCACTTTTTAAGTTGATCGACTTTAATGTTACTGCCCTTTTCATTTGCTAACCTCAAAAATTTCCATAAGTTAGCAGAGCATTTTACAAAATGATATAAACGATTAGTGGTGATTCTTTTTCTTTTAAAATGACTTCTATTTTAAAATATTGTTTCGGTGTAGAAAAAGCTAAGCTAAGAGTGCTCGGAAAATATAACATCCTCATCATTGATCATTTTTTATAATGCACTAAAAACCGTTACCCTTTCCTGCTTCTTTTTCTTTGTCTCATAACGCTGACGGCGTTCACGATCCTCCACTGTTATACGTATCAGACGAGTGTGTCCCAGAGTGCTCCACCATACGTTATGAAGAACTGGTCGCCGAATCGCACATTCGAAGCGCAGCAACAAATCTTTCAACAATTCAACTGTTGGTGGAGCACTAAGTCCCTACAAGAAATGATAATTCGTAAAAGGAATTTATATGAAAACGTGATAAATATGCAGCAAAATTCTCACAAAAACCGGACAAACACTGACGCCTAGATATTGCCATATGGTTTGCACATTTGTCGAAATTAATTTAAATCCAATCATCTTAATTTTATTTCGCAATTTCAAATTTTTTAAATATCTGTTGTCTTTTTGCAAACTGATGGAATAAATAAGAGAAAAAATAATTGCTAAGTATGACTCGAAGATTCAAAAAAAAAAACCAGGAATTACTTTTTCTAACAAATTACCTTTTTAAAATAATCCAAGCCATCACGTTTCCATAGTCGATGCATTAAAACTGATGGTATTTTTTGAGCAAAACTTTCCATGGAATTTTGTATTATTTTCCCAATCTGAATGGGTGTTCCAGTAAGAGTACGTCCCTTTGCTACCGTCCACTGAAATTTCATGATTCTTTTGAAGCACATTTTTTTATCTAAGTAATACGTTATTTTATTCGTTATAGTAGAAATATTGACATCGTAGTATTTGAATTGAAATCACCTCAAACTCTCCTTCGTCCATAAGCGAAAATCTTCCTGACATGTACTTTTTTTTGTCTCTTTCTTTAGCCCTTTGAATCGGATTTTTGGCATATTCATTCATACTATATTGATTGACATAATGAGATAAGGTATCGCCTTCTCCAAGCCTAAATCCAAGCTCCACAGAATGGACTTCGTCAATATCGCCATTAACTAAAGCTGTATGGAAACTCGTTTCGATTACTTCTTTTTTTGTAATCACTTCGTGAGCTGGAAATAAGACAGATTTTTTATGGTTACTGGTTTCAATTTCGCAACTGAAAATCAGAGTAGAACGACATACACTTACTTTGCATGCCAGCTGTCCAGAATGTATCCTTTAAACAGTTTCCCGTAAATCCCAACAATTCTTCTACTTTGCAGAGTAGCAGATACTTGCTCACTTCAACATGCTTCGTGTAACCAATTGCAACCACTATTCTTTCATCATCACTTTCTCGTAATTGACTAAACAACGGCTTTGCCAAAATACCACCCATTCTAATAACTGAAAAAAGATTATTTGTAGCTGGAATCTTTGTGAGTCTTCCAAAAACACTCAATCGTGATAAGCTTCAGAGTCAACAACTAGAAAATCTAAAATTTTCAGCCCATGAACCTAACAAAAACGTTTGACTTTGTTTTCACTTTTTTTTAAAAAAAAAAATAATTTTAATCCAAGCTAACCGTTATCAGCATGCAAGTACAAATCAGTTTTATTTCTAGCTCTTGCGCTTCGTCCATAGTCACCAGTTAACTGCAATGTCATCCGCATATGTTCTTCAATGAGAGGAAGAAGGTCCATAAAAACGGCTGCCAAATGTTTTTCGTATTCGTTCACAGAAAGCATATTCAACAAAAAATAGAGCTGAGGAAGAGTGCTGTAGTAATGCACAGAACCGTCAATATCGTTCTGCACAAATATACGCCTCACCATAAACCAGTAAAGACGGCCATGACGATCGCGACCCAATGGTTTGAAACGCATTGGCATACGCGGCGACCGGTAACCTGGGACTTGACAGTCTGTTACACCGCGTACCTAAAACGATAATTTCGCTAAAGTAAGAGTACGGTGAAAATAAAGTGAAGGATAACTAGTAAATGAACATTGCATGTCTTTTCTGCAACTGTGACTCACATGGCTACATCAGTTCCATATGCTGTCCTGTTTTATCACACAAGTTAAAGGTACTGAAACCAATGATACCTTATGTAATTCACACACTTGACACAACCACTTTCCATCTGGTACATCGGCTAAATTTGTGCATGACAGATGATAGCATGCTTCGCAACCGTCACATAGCAGGACATCGCCTGGTTTTCCACATTCACGACAGTGTTCATCTACCGTCAGTTTTCCCTCATTCCTAACAATATTTCGGTATTCATTAGTTTGAAAGAAACGATCGCAAAGCCATGAAAGAACTGTAAGTCGTTGTTTCACACCAACAAACGGATAATTTCCACTTGCTGCTTCAAGAACTTCAGCAGGAAAACGCTGCGGATCGCTTTCCAAATATTGGCGAAGTACCTGAAGCAAAGAACTATAGTACAGTTTTTTGAATCCAATCCTTGAGATCTATTAATAACAAAAAAAAAAGGATGTTTTGAAACTTATTAATGAAAAAAAATAAATAGACATAAAAACTTTTTTTAACAATACAATATGTATTTCAGATAAGAAATTCCTTCTTTCAACTTTCTAGCTCCTTCTTTTTTCTTCATCCTAGAGTATCCTCTAGTTCTCAGTTTACTGCCCTCCTTACATTTTTTCTTGTAGATACCTCGGCATATGTCATTGGTTCAAGCAGCTGAAGCATGATGTTAAAACTATTGTTTGTGTCCTGAACTGATAAGATGATTTGCTCATCATCATCGTCCTTTAGCGACAACTTCAACAGTGCGATATGTATTTCAGCCAAGAGATTTGTTTGACCCTCAGTACTTAGAGCAGCGCAAAAATCTTCGAAAAGAAATGGAGAAAGTCGAATTGCTTGATAGTACCACCGACAAGTTTCATAAACCTGCAAGGTTTACTTAAGATAGTGAGGAAATGCGAATTTTTACCAATATTAAGGCCAATACATCACCTGATCTGCCATGGTGAAAAGCGTGCCTCAATGATTTCTGATCTGATCTGAACACGTAGGATTGCTTATTAGCTTATAAAAATATCGTTTAATCAGTGACAATGAATTATAAATTATACCAATGCTATTCCAACCTTTATAACAGCTCATTTTCTTAATGATTCAGTACCTCAAGAGCATCAAACAAATATTTCTCATCGATCAATAAATCTTTGCTTCCTTTTGGTAGTTTCAATATTGGTAATTGTTCTGCAGGAATTTCAAGCCATGGGCATTCTATAAATTTATTTTATGGAACAACAAATATTGACGAAATGAAAATTGAAACAAAAGCATGGATCTATTAATTTGCAGGGAAACCCACCGACAGATTCATCTGTCTCATAAAGTGATGCACCAGGTGTTGGAACCCGACTCGCCACGGATGATGTCTCCTCTATCTCTTCATCTTCAGCTTCGTCTTCCAAATCCATTGCTGCTGAATCTATCATTAATTTGTTTACAAAATAAATTTCAACGAATGAAAATTCGGGTGAATCTGAACAAATTATTATAAAGCTGAACTAGTTAAGATGGCAACAAGTCTTTTACAAGGTTAGCGTTTCTATTTTTTGCATGGATGTAAAAAGTGAAATTCTAATACAAAACAGCGAACTTCTTTGGGCAGTGGAAGTATCACTATCGAAACCATCTGATGAGTCGGTGTAGTAGTCAGGCCTATCATATTCTTCATCACTTTCATCCCAAGCTTGTCGATTTCTGAAATATAATTATCGAGTTCTCAGCTTTATTTGAATATAATCGACTAATAATTACTGAATATACTGTAGATATTCAAATAGTCTTTCTATGAAGCCGCATCATCTAATTTCATTGATATGTGGATTGGACAAACTCTCATTGAAGATACTGTAGGCGTTCAAAAAGGCGCTTTTTGAAAAGCTACCCATTAGCTGATATATAAAAAAGTAATATTCACTTTTGGAATTTAAATATTTGAAATTTTTTCCAAACAATTTTACCTCGAATTCGGCCATTCAATTTGAATAAAAACTTCAGAAATGATACGAAAAAAAGTATGAAAATAAGCCATAAGGGCCCGTAAAGTAACGAAACTATTTCAATTACTTTTAGTAGACAAATACTAAAAAAAGGAAAAAATAATCGCCCTAAAAAGCCTCTGGTAATATTGCAGCCATATAGCTGTTGGATTGAAATAAACAACTAACACTATTCGATATATGTGAAAGATTTTGCATTTACTCGAAACATTTACAGAATTAAATTACTCTCTGGATTTTGAAGTTTTCGTTGATTTTGATTTCATTGAAATACCAGTGAGTTTTGCACGTCCTCGATTACGACCATAGCATGATGGTGATGATTTAGCTACTGTTTTTCCGGCTGAACTTCGACCACGACCTCGAGGTCTACCACGAGGCATTTCTGTCGAATTCAAAAATATTGCGTTAAAATCTCTTCCAAAATTGTTGTACAGTTAATACCTGTATATCTCTATAAAATGCTAAAACAACACAGATTAAAGTTTTATCACAAATACTTGAAATAAAAAACATGCAATTTGTGCACGAACGACAACACATGGTCTCACATCGATGCATCATCGTATCGCCACGTATAACTTTATGCAACATATATCCTTTATGCAACATTTTACTTCCCACACTTATTAAACCAATCTATTGTGAACACATAATCGGAAAGGGGAAAGACTTGTTTTTTCTTCAGATTATTTATGAATTTTATAAATTTCTAATTTCTGTCTCCTTGTTTATTAATAGAAAATTCTCTGAAAGAAAAAAAAAAAAACCATGAAATTGTATAACACAGTATTCGATTATATGATGACAAAATGATATAAGTTTGTTATAAAAGCATAACCATAAGTAAAACATAGTTCAATGATCATATATATATGTATTCTTTTCAGAAATTTATGATAAACATGCAACAAAGAAATAAAGAAAAAACAAATATGCAAATTAAATGAACAAATGTGAAAATTCTTGTTTTTTTAGCATGCATGTATATAATTGAGTGAATAATTATTATATTTACAGATAAATTATTCTGAAAAATCTCACAATTAAGAGGAAAAGATCAGAAAGTTTTCTTTTTTCCTCTTTTATGCACAAATTACAAAGATGAAATGAGATGATCAATCTGAGCAAATACTATGTATGTCTCTATCATTCCATACCCAATACATACACACACACACATACACACACACACACACACACACACACACACACACATACACACACACACATACACACACACACACACACACACACACACACACACACACACACACACACACACACACACACACACACACACACACACACACACACACACATACACACACACACACACATACATAGCAGACAGACACACACATACGTAGTCCTTGCAATACAGCCCTACTACTACTACTACTACTGTGCACACTTCGAAATGAAATCAGTCGCACAAAGCACTGAAACTAATCAATAGATGTGTGTGTGTCTTACACACAGTGTGTAGAGAGGAAGAGAAAAAGAGTGTCACAATTGTGTTTTAAATTTTATACTAAAATTAGTTCAATCGGAAAATTTCATTTCACCAAATTATTGTAAATCTTTGAAGAATAATATAATATTCCACTTCTCAACAAATCAATCATTTTCGCTTATCTTCGAATAAACAATTTTCCGTGGGATTACAGTATTTTTTCGTTGTAAGATCATTCAAGGGAATGTAAATTATGGCGCTGTAATTTTAAATATGAAATTGCTTCCTTCCCTTTTTGCTTTTTTTTCTGTTGCTGAATGCTTCAGAATAAATTGTTGCTATTATTTTTATTCCTAACATTAATTTTAACATTACTTATGGGAGAAATGATAATTATAATGAAATTAATTTTTTTTTAAGATTGAATGAGCTAATTAAAGGTAATTTTCATTACTATTTAATACTATTTAATGTTAATTAGTTTGTGAGAAATTAAGTGTGAAGTGGATAAGAATATATTTTACCTTATTATATACTTTGAAGGAATTACACTATGGCTAGTGAAGTAAATGAATTAATGGAGCTGTTGAATTGTATCATACAATTTGAAACGGATATTAAAACTGAGAACAATGAGGTACATTTTAACGTCTATCAAAATTTATTGTTTACATTTGCGTAAACCGTAGAAATTTGTTAAAATAGTGTACAAATTGAATTGTTTTATACTCGAATAGGCCATCTATTATTTAAATTACTCATTTGTAGTTCTAACTACACGTGTCATATCTTTATAGTTACCTTCTAAGGTAAGTATAAAAATTATGCACTGAAATGCTACAAAATAATAGCATTTTAAAGTATTTAATGTTGAAATGGGTTTTGTTATTCCTTTTAATTAATAGACATGTAACTATCATACTTACATTTTATTCTGTTTTATTAATTCACCACTGCATCATTACGGGGATAGCGTGTTTGTGGACTTTCACCTCTCTCTGCATGGATGATTATCGACAATGATAAAAAAATCCCAAATTATTTTGAGTAAATTTGAACTTTTCTTTTCGCAGTGATTGCACTTTTTTGTCTTTTGGTTTTCTGAAATTTATTTCCCCTTTGTTTAGGCTGAAAATTGGCGTCAATATCTTATTAACGAGCAGGAAGTGAAGAAGTTTGTAAAAGTGAAGCAGAAACGGCACAGTGCGTTGCGGAGTGTGTAAATTTGATAATTCGTTCGTTCAGATTCTCAAGTTGAATAAGTAATCAATTAATTACTTAAATCCTGAACCTTACCTGTTGTTTTTCGATGTTTTTAGATTCCGAGAAAGAAGTGTCGCGATTGCGTGAACAGATCCGGAAGGCCAAGAAGGATTTCGATTATTGCGACAAGCAAATAACGGAGTACATCACAGCAATCGAAGCTGCTCAGTATGAGCTCGATGAATTGAAACAAGAAGGCAAAGGTTATTCGGTTTATATTCAAGTTTGTGGAACACTATCATAAATTTAAAAATGTTGAAGTTGCAGATTTCGATAAAATATTCACTGTGGTAGAGGAGAATATTATGGAATGCATTTTGAAAACTAAGATTCAAATCTACAAGCAAACTCAAGAGGATAAAAAAAGGTAACTAGTTTTCTTTTCTGATATCACTTTTATTTCCATAGTTTTTAGTAAATGATCTGGAAATTTTCCATCAGTCTTGTGGGAAGAGCTTTAATTAATTTTAAATGAAAATTGAGTTTGTCTTTTCTTTCCTTTTTTGTTGCAGAATTTGTTTTTCACTTTTCGTTGTGGCATAGGTTACAACAGCTGTATATTACTGAAATAAAACGAAACATTTTTCTCATTCGGTGCATGTAACGGATTGAGCTTTTTCCAAAAACTGGGTATATGATTATATTTGGAGTATGGTTTAATGAAAGATTCAAAAGCAGCTTTAAACATTCCTCAACCAAATTTTTTTCTCTTTTATTTGCAATATTTTGATTTTAGAATTGATTTCAGAATTGTTGCTAAGTTAGAATTACTCGATTGTGTCGACAGTTTACCATGTCAGGAAGACGTATCAGCTGTTCAAACACATAACGACACGTCAACTTCTTTCGCTCATCAATCTCATGAAACTTAATTTCCAAATTCATAAATTTCATTTCTTTGAGATGAGCATTCTTATTTTTTTTTTCTAAGTTACAGATCTTATTTTTCTAAGTTCTTTCATATCTTGGAAGCAGCTCTTCTGTATATATCGTTATAACGATTGATTTAGCTAAAATGCTGATCATATAAGCTTCACCATGTCATGATTATTATATATAATATTACTATTCATTATAACAACACAATATCTCAGGTTATGCTGGAGAGAGATACTTTCAATATTGAGATTTACTGTTAAATTCACTTTAGTTAATTTCATCATTTATAGAGACAGTACGTTTTTAAACATAATTTCTCCACTTTCAATTTCTTAAAAGCTGTATATTAAAGTAATACATAATACTATGGTAAATAATAATGATTAAAAACTGATACCTTCCTGCAACTATATTATGTCAGTATTGAAATTATGAAGCATTTCTGTGCGTGATGCACTTGTTAATTCACATTGTTTTGATATCGTTTTTCATTTTGCTCCTTAACTAAATTATAGTTGTTGTGTGGAAATATGGGTTAATCAAAATCCTGCTTCATTCGCTGTTTTTAAATATCTAATTGTTTTTTTCCTCCATTAATTCGAAATTGTAAAAATTATTTATTATTCACATTTGTGAATGCATGTTTTTTTCTTTCTTTCAGCATAACATATAAAAATAAATATTAATCTTATTGATTCTTGAAATGTTCATGACTATTTTTGTATTTTTTATTTCTGTTTTCTCATATTAATTTAGTTACTCCTTTTATTCATAACTTTCGCTCAGGCTTTTCTTTTTTTTTGTTGTTATTTTTTCAACTTTACCAGTTATATGTGATGAACAATAGGAAATAGTTTCGGCATTTAATGAAAGCTAGGAAATGAAAAAAAAAACTTGAATAATTACTGATTGTGAAAAAAGTTGAATTGTATATCCTTTGAATGAATGTTTTTGCCGAAAATTCTTACGGGTATAATGGTGTTGATTTTGTGAAAAAGTACTATCAAAACTGAAAGAATAAATTTTTATTTATTTTTTTTTACTTTTATTTTTTTTTATTTTATTTTATTTTTTTTTCTTTCTTTTTTTTTTTGAGGTTACTGACCTTTTCTTTTGAAAACTTGTTTTGTAATTCTTTTCGCTAAAAAAGAAAAAAAGGGAAAAGAAAAAATAGAGTCGGAAAGGAATAGTGATCCTGAGAGATACATAAATTTTGCTTTTATATATTAAACTTATTTTGAAAAAAAGAAATGATTCAGCAGTTTTTATTTAGAGGAAAAATTTTTCATCTATTGTTTCATTGGGTCATCGTAACTTTTTCCTTTTTTTCTGGAATATTGCATTTGATAATTTCTAGTAAATCGATCCGAATCCATAATAAAGTAGCAATACTTCAACTATTAATCATTTTTATCATTTTCATCAAACAAATAATTAGTGTTTTATGGGAAAGAAAAAAATGGGAGGGGGATAAAGAAAAAGGGAGAGAAATGAAAATGCAATGTTTTCTTGGCCTATCATTAAGAATGAAGCGATTTACAAGGTAAATTAATCATTTATATAAATCTTTCAAAACTTTTCCTAAAATTTCATTTTTACTCGATCTATTTTGGTTGTTTAAGTTTATCATTAAAAGACTGAAGGAAAAGTTTTTTTTTTCAAACTTTCATGAACAAATTTCATATTAAATTTATTATCAATCTCAATGGCCAACAAATGTGTCTCAATATATAGCAGTAGATTTATTGAAGTGGAAAATTTGGGACATTAATTTGTTAAAAAGGA